TTTGTTTGCTATAACCTCTGACACTTTGGTAAAATTACAATTAAGTGACGATAGCCATGAAATCACTTCAGGTGTTAAAGTATCAAGTGGCTCAGCAGTTTCAGCATCTACTTCACACTAAATACAAATAAAAATTTAATGTATCAAAATGGATAAAAAAAATTTAATGAAAATAAAATATATATAAGTTTATAATATACCTTTAGGGATAACAATATGGACAAAAATTTTCTCTTGTCACCTATTAAGAAAGCATTACTAACAACTGGTAAGACGGCTTTAACATTGTTTTCGATTAATACAGGAGGTATGTTCTCTCCACCAGCTGTTATTAACAATTCCTTTAACACAATACAACATTAATGAATATCTGTGTAAGATGGAGTTTTTAATTAATTTAATTCTCTTTACCTTTATTCTTCCAGTAATTGTAACATATCCTTTATCGTCTATTTGGGCAATATCACCAGAATGAAGCCATCCATCAGTGTCAAGTGTACTCTCTGTTTTTTCTATTAGATTCAAATAGCCCATAAATACATGACGTCCATATATACACAACTAAACATAATATGTTAAATTAATATTGCCATAAAAATGCTATAAATGATTGATTTACAAGTATGTTTTTGCACAACATACAAATGTTGATATTTACCTCTCCATTACCATCCTTGTCAGGTTTGTCAATTTTTGAAGTGACTCCTTCTAATGTTTTTCCAACGCCAGCAACATTTTCATCAGTTGGATTACTCAGTGTATGTGCACCTCCACACTCAGACATTCCAAATGCCTGTTAAATTTGTACAAAATTAATTTAACGTCCAAACAATTGTTAAGAATATTATTATCATATTACTTCGCACAAAGGTATGTCCAAACTCATAAAATATTTTTTTAGCTCCACTGATATAGGAGCAGCAGCTGAAATAAAATATTTGCATCTATCGAAACCAATAGCACTTTTGATACGACCATAAATTAACCATCTGAAAAATTTATACGAGTACGTTTCTCTTTCAACTCTGTAACATAAATATCAAAATTATTATTTAATAGCATGAAAAAATAATTGATTCAAAAAAAATAATTCAAGGTGAAATATAAACATATATGATTATATAAATAATAATTGATACTGATATAGATACAAGAATCATATTTTGTTTTTACATTTTTATTGAATATCAATCTAAATAAAATTAATGTTTATTGTTACTATACAATAGATAAAACAGTAGCACGCTACTCAATATTTTTCCTCTACAAGAGATCTATACCTTGTACCAAATAAGAGCGCGCCAAATTTACGTAACAAAACCGGTTTTGCCTGTGGCCGCCCGGTGCGCTCTTATTTGGTACGGAGTATATAATATATCATAAATGTTTTTGTTAAGAAGTAACCATGACAACAAATACTTTAAAGAAAAATCAGTCAGAAACAAATAAACGTGTATCCAACCCAAAAATATATTTATGAAAAAGGTTAAAAAACAATTTCTCATTATAGTAATGTCTAGCATTAAATGTACTAACCCTTTCATTGCTTCTTCATAATGATTTAAGCCAACTTCTTTAGCCCAATCAGCAATGTACTTTTTCAATGAACCTGATTTTCGGCCGATACTCACTAATTTTTCATTAATTTTTTCCCAAACACGAGGAACACCCAAAAAAACTGTTGGTCTGGCAGCTTGAAGTGTGCTCACTAAAGAACCCTAAAATTACAGGGAAAAAAATATGAATGAAATAAATACAAAATAAGTAGGTATTTTAATATTTTAATTTTTACAAACTAACCTTAAGAGCGTCTTTTTCACCAAAAAATACTTGAGCTCCTATTGTGATAGCACTATATATATCAGTGATCTGCAAATATTAAATGTTGTTAAAATTTAATTATAAATTTTTGTAGATTTACATACTTGAGCTGCTACATGACTCAAAGGTAAATATGAAACGAGAACTTCCTTTCCTTCCACCAAGGACAAGAATTTTGTGATCATATATGCATTGTATGTTAGATTATCATGACTAACCATGACTGCTTTTGATGCGCCTTCGGTTCCAGACTATTTTTAATAAGTATAAAATAATAATATAATAGATAACAACAGGAATGTTTTGATAAAAATTTTCAAATAAAATTTACCGTAAATACTAATGTACAACATTCATTGACTCCCATAGTTTTCAATACAGCATTTAATTTATCATCAGATTCAGCTGATCCAATTCTCATAACATCTTCCCACTAGTAAAATATATAAAAAGGAAATATATTGTAGGTACAGTAATTTTAAGAGCGATAATAGCCTATATTTAATTCAAAAGTCATAAATATAATATAAGTATACACATAGTGTATTCATTAGAGACTTTATGATATTAAAATGGCCCACATATTATGAATATACTATATTAGTATAGCAATATTTAGCATGCAAAAATAATAACCACAAAAAATATGTTTATTTTTAAACAAAATTTTAATCTACATCTCAAAATGCCTATTATCTATTAAAAATAAATAATGTATAAGAACAGTCAGAAATGGCTATTTATCAGTTTTTTTTATATTTTTTCAATTATAATATGTACCTACATTAAAAGAATATAAATAACAAAAATACCTGTTATCGTAAACTGTTATAAACTTTATAAAAACTATTATCGTGAAACATCTATTAAACTGTTTAGTAAAATTATGCATCTTTAAATACTATTACTTGTACAAAGAATACAGATTTTTATCCACTAAAAAAATATCAAAATTGTAAAAATTGTGAAAATATGAAACAAATATGCAAAAAAAAAATTTGATTTGGGTAATAAGGTGAAAAAGTGCACAATTTTTATTTGATAATTATTATTATTAGTTTATAAATTGATGAGGTATGAAAAGAATTTAAAACAAATTAAATAATTTATAATTAGGTACCTATCTATTTAATAAACTTATCTTTATTTCAATTATTACTATTTAGTGCCTACAAAATGTATTTATGAATTTTATATTTGTCAAAAWATTCTCAAATACGCAAAAACGATTTCCCATAAGTTTCAAACTAATATGATTTATTGATTTGTAATGAAAATGATGAAAATCCAAAAATTTGAAATTAAAAATATACATTTGCAAAAAAACCACGCTATATTAATATATAACACAACTTAACTAACAACTTACAGATAAAACACCTTCTTCAGTAGGTTTGCCTTCATATTGAATTATGGCTTTTAAATGTGGTAGTTGACTTTTGACTGATAATATTTTTTCCAGTTGTTTACTATCTTCAACTACAGCAATATTCGCTTTACTAGTCTCTAAACAATGGAGACAAGCGTCTACAAGATTTGTTGTGTACATTCCAGCAGCAAAACCACTTTATCAACAATAAATAGTTATTTAATTCATTTTAGGATGTTGATAAACATAAACAAAATAAAATAAGACTTAAATAATTTAAGTACACATTAAACATACAGAATAGAAATATTATTCTGTAGTCAAAAGTGTACAGTAAATTACAAAACAAAAAGAATTATCTTACCCAGCATAAATAGCCCCCAAGTCTGAATAAAACCATTCTGGTGAGTTAAACCCGATTATACAGACGCCATGAAATCTTTCAAGGCCCAACTTTATAAATGCTTTAGCAACAGTTCGCACATTCTGTTCATATTCTCTGAAAATTTTTTAAGTTTAATAAAATAAGATATTTTTTTTTTGAATAATTATAATTTTAACAATTAACATACTTATAAGTAACTTTAACCCATTTATTGGCTGACTTATAATTTAACGCTGGTAGATCTCCATATTTTTCAGCAGTTCTAGTCAAAAGTCCAGGTACAGATATGGGAGTATTATCTGCACCAGCCTCAATTCTTAAAGTAACTCGGCCATTTGCTTCACTTGTATATTTTTGTGAAGCAGGTAAAACCTGATCTGGTCCATCTAAATATGAATAATTGAAAATTGTCATGATCATGGTTACATATCATTATTCAATATTAAACAATTCTGAGAGCATCTAATTTAGTTTCTATCTTTGTGTTTATAAATAATTTAATAATTTAATTAATAATAAAAAAAAAGAAACAATAACTTACAGTTTTCTGCTGGTTTTGAGTTTTCAAAACTTTAATATGGGACATAAAAAAAACAAAAGAAAAAATATATGATATAAATAACAATTTTAAAAATTAGCAATTTAAAGTCTAAATGACTAGTTTTTAAAAAATATTTATAAAATACTAACCTCATTTTTGTGTTATTTTCAACTTCAGAACTAGGTAAAAATGAATTCTATGAAACAAAAATTTAAATATTAATATTAATGGACAGAAACAAGTAAATAATTTTTTAATACATACAAATATAGTTGTGCATTAAACTATCAATTTCTCTTAAGATACTAAATTTAAATTAATTATTTTATTTTTGACAATAACTAACCTCTTTTATTTTGTATTGATTTCCACCATTTTGCATAACACTTGGAATAATATCACCGTCATCACTCATAATGAATTAAATAAGTACTGAAAAATGAAAATAGAGATAAATTATTATTAAAACAGATTACAAATCATTAGGTATATCAGTTTGATCCAATTAGGGAAAAAATAAATTTAAAATGTGATAACATAGGTATATCTGATGAACTACATTAATTATAATATTAAATTATTAGAATTTAAAATAGGTAATTATATTTCCACTATTTATGGCAGGATATATGATGAATTAGTCATAAACCAAAGTTCATAATTATTCTCTAACCATACCTATAACAAACCTAAAAATGGAAGATAGTACATAGAAACTATTTATTACATTTTATTACAGAACTAATGTGATTAGGTACCTATTTTACAAACTATTTCATGCAAAATATTATAAACAAATTGAATTTCCACCCTCAAAAATTCTTCAGGAAATTTTCTTTTTATAAATTATTTATCAAAATATCTATGATTAACTATTGCTCAATAGACCTCTAGGTAGGTAAATAGCAGACATTCTCAAATTTTTGTATCCATACAAAAAGGTACCAGTCATACACTACTAATGAATACAAATAACACTATTCAAATTTTTTAATAGTTAAATGTATACTAATAATAATTTACATTTTACAGTATTTGATATTTACACAAAATATAAAATAATATAAGATCAGTCTCAAGCATCAGCAAAAATATTTATTTATTCATTATCCAAACAACCACAACACTTCCTGAAGTATACCACCATGTAACCAGTAGCCTTCAACATACTTCTACTGATAAACATTTGACATACCACAGTTTGAGAATCGCTAATATATAGTATATTAGACTTTATGAAACTTGAAACAAATAATAGCCAAAAAATATTGATTTAAAAAAAAATATTACATCATTGTGAAACCCAGAATCTCTTCAGAATTTAAAATTGTTTTTATCAATTATTGCAACATTTTAAATTTCAACAATAACTTACATAAAAACAATAACCAAATCACCTGTGTTTGTATTATAACTTATAAGTAATTATAATCTATTTATAGTTTATTCTGTTGATAGTGTTATTTATTATGTCATTGAACCTATGTAACCATGTAGGTACAATGTTCCTTTTTTAAAGTGTTAAATTGTTTTTATCATATAGGTTAAAAATTTATAATTTATTTACGTTAGGCATTTTTGTTGAAAATGTTATTCATATGCACACGTTTTAAGTGGCATTTTGTATGATAATATAGATATATGATATACTCATTCAAAAATAAAAGTTTGTATCGCAACAAGACACTTCTTAAGTACTCATATCAACAATTTAGAAACATATTCTATATGTATGATATCTAAATATTCCAAATTTCACTAATGATTATGTAATTATAATATTCTATATAAATGAATGATAAATTGTATCATGTACACACAATAAGAAAGGATTAAAAAAATTTTAAGCAATCCGACCATACAATTTTTAAGTGCCTTTACTGTTTTCATGTCTTCTTTAAAATAAGAAGGTAGGTATTCAAAAATGACCTTCAGTTTATTGACATACCAATATTTGGCATTGCTTATAAATTATAATGTAAGATTCAAGATTGAACAAACACATTCATTAAAAACATAAATCGATGTTCAAAATTACAGGGGGAATTTAAAATAATTATACAGACTGATTTTTCAAGTATGCCCCCCCAATTTTTGTACTTAAATTACACATAAATTCTGATTTTGTAATTTTTAAATAAACTTGATGACCATATTTTGGAATCCTTGAAATTTGTTGTACTACCCAAAGATAATCCTGTATCCTGTGATAGTAAAAACACCCATTTTTTAATGAGAATCCACTTTTTTACATTTTTTATTAAACAGATATTTTTTTTTGATAATTTTGATTCAATCAAGTAGTTCTTGAGTTATATATGTTTATGGTAATGAGCTTAATAGATAAGGGAGCTTAAACAATTTGAAAAAGTTAGTATATATAATTGAATTATCAATACAAATTATTTGTAAAAATATTCAAGTACTATAAATACTACATCCAATTCCTATAACATATAGTTTTTATTTTTAAGATTAAGGATTATTATACTTTTAGTATAAATATTTTAACAACTAAGAAATTACTCTGTTATGCTAATTAAAAATTGCAGTAAAGAGACATCTTAAGTACTCATATCAGGAATTTAAAAACATATTCTATATGTATAGGTACCTAAAAGTTCTAAACACCAGAATTTAAATAAATGTACTATTAAAGGAAAATAGGGGTGGAGCATGATTAAAAAAATCACCCTGCATATAATATATATGTTCCTCTTGGTATATAACATCAATATTTTAAAATTGTTTTTACAAGGTTACCAAAAACTCTATACTAAAAAATAATTAATAAAAGTACCTACCTACAATATTAATAATTATAGCATCACAGGTTGATCAAAGATTTATCACTTAATAAGTTTAAAATGTTTTTTTTTACCAATAATAAGCCAAATAATTTAATAGTAGACTATTTAATATTTGCTTAATAAATTAAGATAACATAAAATGAATTTCTAGTTGATATAAATGAGGGATCATCAATAATTAATATATTTTATCAATACAACAGTATATGCAAATGAACTGTTTGAAAAATATTACCTAATTAGACAGTATAAAGATAAATTGATTATTCACCAATAACAAAAATGTATAGTAGTAGCCAATAGGTTTGTTGTAATTATGAGAAGTAGTGAATAATTAGATTAGTAAGACTTTATGATTGACCTCTTCAATTAATTTTTAATGAAAAATTAATGTTAATGGTGAAATAAAAATTATATAAGGATTTTTTTCAGAGAAATTCTAGTTTGTTTTAACAAATTACTTGATTATAGAATATTATATTAACTACTTTTTTTTTAAATTTGAAAAACACAACAAGTGCTTACACACTGACTTAAATTGTATTCATACAAGAATATTACATAATAACAATTTAAACCTTGAACAAATTGTTCAGTACCTACATAAAATAAAATAATTATTTTGCATGTTTCAATTTGTAAAATGAAATATTATGAAAAGTAGATAGTAAATTTAATTAGAGATTTAAAGTTAAAATAAATGTTCATTTATATTTGTTGATTAGCTACCTAACTACATTATAAAGCAATAATTAATTATGAACCAATTCAAGTCTTCTGACAAGTACTTATTGGAGAGAAAATTGAAGAAAAAAACATAAGTTGTCTTAAATATCATCTAAGCTTCATTTATGAATAATTTAAGATGCCATAAAACCCTCATAGCATTCTTGTCTTATTTTTTAAAATTATTTTTATGGATTCAAAAAATAAATTTATCAGAATTTTGTACAGCCAAATAATTATTTTTCATATATTTTCTGAATTTCAAAAAAATAATAATACAGATAAGTAACCAGTATCAGGTCTATGGAGAAACTAGAGAACAAGGATGTGGGCTACTTAGATATTTATTGAAACAGGTTTAKTTGAAAATCAAGTTCATCGTTATTCAAGATGACCTCAAAAATATAAACCTACCTACCTACCTAAAGTCAACTGACATTATTTACAATATAGTTCCAACTTACACATTTTTATAAGTGTATTATCAAAGGTATTCTAATGCATCAAGCCATTTTAAACATAATTTTAAAATTACCTATGCTATTGTCGAAAGCAAAAACCCTGCAAGTCTCGAAAAATATAGGTATAATTGAGGTAAAAACAAATAAATAATTTAAATATTATTACTCCAAAAGTATAATATAAGCAATAATTAAATAACTAAAACACCATAAATCGTACTATCCATTAACAAAAACATTTTCTTCTCAAAATCTTTAATGGTGACTTACAGCATTTTTGCTTATAACAACAGTATAGAATATGGTAAATGTATTAAACACAATGGATTCTTGATATCTCAATCAACAGAGATCAAAAAAAAAAAAAAATTGACTTACCAAATTAATTTAAAATATGTGAATAAATAATTAAGACTGAAAAAAAAATTGATATACCTATAGAAAGTTTGAGATACCAAGGTTACGCTGAATTAGTATTACTTAAGTTATATTTGTTATTTATATAGAGATAATTATTTTAAAACCTCAAATACCTAAAATACCCTCAAAAATACCTAAAATACCTAAAATATAGGATGAATAAATTATTTAATTTATTTGACACGAGTATTATGTTTAAATTTAAATACAAAATTAAGGAMAAAAAAATTATTATTCATTTAATAAAATAGTAGGTACATAGAAAATTTTGTTTTTGGTCTCTTTTTAAAATATATTTCAAAAAAATTCCACTTATAGGTAATTTGTTATAGGAATGTACCTACTTATTACTTAATAGAACTTGGATGTTAATGACCAAAATATCGATAAAATATGTATTAAAAAATTTCAAAATATGCAAGTATATGCCTTTAAATACATCAAATATACTTATTTTTCAACAAATATATGCAAAAAAAGGTATTAATATTAATTAAAAATAAATTATAAACACTAATAAATGAGCACTAAATATTATATCTATTTTAAACAATTACAAAAAATGGGATAATAGTAATTCAGAATAATTTAATGCTATAAATGTATAAACTAAAATACATGTTACGTAGGTTAGATAATTTAAATAAGATTACACTGTATGTTTKTATAACAATGATTTTGGATAAATTTTCAAACTTGAAAAACTTGGATACAACAATCTAATAGTATGTTTTTGTAAACTGAAAAGATAAGATAATGATCATTGACAGGCAATTCTGCTATTCTTGTGTACATAGTGATATCAATATTTCAGTATTTATTTTCCAAAAAATTATACCCGTCCTTATAAAGTGTTATGTTTATATTATATTTAAAATATTATAAACATGCTATAAAATTTATAAATGATCAATATATGCATTTATATGCTCAAAAACGTCAAATATGTATAAAAAGTTTACCTATTTGTAACAGAGACTCAGTGAATCAAATATATATTACACTCCGGTGTATTTCTGGCTGTGTGGAAAAAATATACTTAGTCATAAGAACTAAATCATAAGGTAATCAATGACAAAAAATCAGCATATCTTTATCTACATTTACTACCCAATATTTATATTATTTTGGTAAATATATTACAGTGTCTAGTGGAGCCTAGGGCCAAGATAATATACCTGTTTTTTTTTTTTTAGGAAAAGAAAGAAATGTTATTATCTATAAATACAGATAATAATCAGGTAATATTGCAGTAATGATTTGAGGAGGGATTACTTAATAATGATCATATAAGCAAGAAAATTTGATATTTGACAGTTTTAAAATGAACACACTCACTGATCAGTGATCAAGGTTTATTCTTGCTACTTATGTATATTATACACACACACACATATATATATATATAAAATTAAAAGCAAATTAGTAAATAATTTGATTAGAAGATAATTAATTTGCATMGTATTATGAGTTATGACTCATAAAATACACAAGGTCTAGGAGTAGGTACTTATTAACTAATTGTCTACACACATACAGTAGTTCATTCATAATTTTGATGGCATGATTAAACAAGAATTTCAGCACTTAGTGGAAAAATGATTAAGCACACAAAAATAGACACTACCTATTAAAAAAAATAATTTTTTGAAACATTTTAAATATTAGATACAAAAATATTTTTAATATACCAAAGACCAACGTAATTAAAAATAACACCTAAGGATATTCAAATTTAAAATACACTTACTATAGGTACCTAATTTGATTTTGTAATTGCTAATTAGTATCTTATTACATATTTAACAACATATAGATAGAAAAATACCTACGACCTACCTAACCCAGTACCTAAATAATGTAAAAATGTAAAACATGTAGGTAACTATCTAAAATTAAGAAGTGATGACTGATAAATAATTTAAAATAAGGTGCCTAAGGCTGGGGCTATACAAGGAGTATATGTCACGTTTTCCACCAAAACGCAAGATGGCTGGTGTTTTCTACCGCAGATTGAAACGCGGCGTATAACATCGTTATGTATAGCTACTTCAGTATAAAACAATGAGCTTTAACTTCAATTGGAAAACGCCATGTATAGCCCCAGCCTAATAAACTGGAACTATATATTAAATTTTGAAATATATTAATTAAAATTATGCAAAACACTTTTACCGATAAAATACATATTGGAAAACATAATATGTTTTGTATACATAAGATATAGTTTATATAACTACTTTAATTTATTCTAAGTTGATATATAATTATTGAATTACCAATGCCGGGATAAATAAATACCCAATTGTCATTAAATAAGAAAATAGATAYATTCTACAAACCAATTACCAAAGTTAGGTATTTCAAAACAATTTTTAGGACATACCTATTAGATATTTTAATGTATAATTTCTACACTATTTAATTTTAAGAAGAAATTATACATTGTAAAAAACTGACTTAAAATAATAAGATAATTTTAAAATTTAAATATCGATTGAGCATTATAGTTCATAGAACCTTGTATTTAAATTTATAAGCCTAGCATGCTCATGGACACATCCAATTATTACCCAAGAGAAATWAACAGACCACCGAAAATATCTTATTTAATGCTTATTTTTTTTTCTCTAGGTAGAAAACTCAAATAACTTAATCACAAAAAAAAAAGTTTATTGGACTCAACTATAGAACCAATTACAAGCCCTGGCCTAACTCAATTAGACAATAATTAGTAAATATCGTATCTAACGTTCAAATGTGTATGATATTTTTTATTTTTTTATTGTTTTTAATTAACTGTAATGTATTACTTGCATAAATATAAAGAAATTTGTTCAATATAAATATCATATAATATAGATCTCTTTGTCTTTGAGAATATGTACTTCTAGGAACACAGGTATCCATACAAATGACCATAAAATGTCACAAATCTTCTTCAAATTACCCAGATGTGGACAATAAAAGCTTGAACTTTTGCTAACTGAATTTGGATTTTTAAGATGAATTGGTCGGAACTAAGTTCAAATCAATACATGTTAAACAATGTATATAAACAATAGGTTAGTAAGAAAAACTTTCAAGGACAGCTATTTAAAGTTATAGGTAGTAAATGCAAGTGTATATATATTTTATTAATAGGTTTATCAAAGTATATTTATTACAACATAAGWAGGTACCAAATATGTTTAGAAAAATCCGAGGAAAAATCATTAGTTATTTTACATAATTAAAAATATCAAAATGCACATGTATTTATTGCAATTAAGCAGGTACTGACACTACTGGGTATCTACCTAAAGCTGGTATTACACAAGTTTTTCATCAGTTGATCAACATTGTACTTATTTTTGATATTTATCGACTTTTTTTCAAACGAGTGTAATAGATTAAACTAACTTATACCTGCTACTGATTACAATATTCAAATTTGGTAATATTATTTAATATTCATACAATGATGAGTACCTATATGAAACTAAATTAATAAAATATGATACTTTTAATGGCGTAATGGTGTAATATTCAAATAGCAGATAATATAATATATATTGTGGGCTTATCTTGTGTCAATAATGATATTTAAAATATATAGGGCTTCATGTGTTAATGAAGAACATACTCGAGGGTATCTGAAAATAAAACTAAAAGAAATGGTCTATAATTAGGTACCAAGAAAAAACCCTAAAGCTAATGTTTTTGGACTCGATCAAATCAAAAATGTATTASCGGTGGTAAAACAAAAAATAATCTTCAAAAACAGTTAGGTACATAAGTACAACGAGCACACGTTTACTTACTAAAATTTAATGAGTTAAGAGATGAAAGAATTGCATAGTATATTTTGTACTATACCTAATATTATAGAAATAAGGTATACAAATAAAATATGAAAATATGTCGGAGTACACACCGTCATCTATTTGAWGAACAATAATAATAAGATGTAAAATATGTACAAAAAATAAAAACATGTAAGGTATTCAATTCAAATTTATCAGTGGGTTGCGCGAAAAGTCCTGACCTCTGTGTCGGACGTATTATCATATATCACACGGCACACGCACACACAAACATAAAATAGGTACACAATCCTCGGCAGGAACCGAGCAGGAACTGATGTCGAAGATAACACGTATGGTAAAAGTTCGTATGTTTTACAGAAATTATTCACAAACATCAACTAAATACGAATTACGAGTTAAAAAGGACAGTTTGTCGTCACGTATATTATTATATACAAAGGTGAGGGCCGAATCGAAGAGTTCTTCGGACCGTCCACCTTCGTGCAAAATAAAATGCAGTAATTTACCTTAACGTCGGAAGTAGAATGTGTTACAGAAAATTCGGCCACTAGCCCACTACGTGTCTACGGGAGCCCGACCGACAAGGTAACGACAAAGTATACGACCGACTGCAACGACAATACTGACGTTACGTCTCTCATTAGTCATTAGTCGTTTTCGTGTGGATCGCACGGTACGACGGCGGCACTTGAACGCGAAAACTGCAAGTGGCGGTGGTTTGTGGAACCGGCTAGTGGCTACGAAATCCAAATGACTCGTGTGCAACTTCCTCCTCCTTCTACATACACTCTATATAGGCTATATAGCTAGTACTCGAACCAGTTGTTGCCTACACTTATCGACTTATCGTGTTGAAGACGACGACGACGATAAGCGAATTTAACGACTGTTAATTATAGCCCGGCCGTGATTTAAACAGCGAAACGATTTTTACAATAATAACCAACGAAACAGCCGATAACGCGAGAGAAAGATGTTCCCCGCGACCCACGTCGGTGGACGACGGATGAGTGTTGGAAATTATTTATAAATATAATTGCACATACATATATACTATAGATCTATAWAATATTGAATTATTATTTATTATTATAATTTATTACCGCTACGACAGCGGATGATCGACACGGTGTTTGTGTGCGCAGAAAATAATAATAATAATTACGAGTATTGTGCTGCGTAAATAATAATTATTGTTCTACAGTGGTTGCAATTTTCAGTAGTAAATCGCAACACTCGTGCGAACAAATAAATTTTTCCACGGTGACACGCACGTACACTGGCGAGCGTACTCGTCTCGGACCTCGGTTCGCGGTCGCGGAAACGGTTACGGAAATCGGCGTCTGCGCTAAAGGTGATCGCGATGACGTGACGTCACCTACCTAGCCCGCAACCCGTACGCGTGGCTGCCATCATCATGGAACAACCGCGTCCGCGACCACACCTAAGTCCCAACCACCCGACTTGAACGAAACGGCCGTACGCGCACGTGACGACGTGGTCGACGCTCGACCCGKCGGCGCCGAACCGACAACGTATCACTGGGCGGGCTTCGCGATCGCGCCACTTCGGCAGCGGCCAATGGGAAACGGGCACAACACCTGGGCCACGACGCCAAATTTGACGTAAATAGTAATTATTACCGAAGTCCGAAATGCGAATTCCGCAAGTGACGACCGAACGGAGCGGGGCTTCTCCGTTATCGTTTGAATTTTTTTCACATCAGTTCTTCTGATGTTTTAGAAAATTATTCGTACACGAACAGATTAATAATACCGACGACATTAATTGTATTTGTATTTAAAACTCAAGTCATTGCGACCCGTTTCTTCGCCATGACTTGTTTTAAATATCATAACGATATATTATGTGGCCGACTGGATTTTTAGACGATTCAAGGTTGTCGTTGTTGTTGTTATCGTCATCGTCATCATCACCAGTCACCACTTTCATTATCATGGTCATCGTAATAATATTATTAAAATTGGTTATATAACTATAAACTAGTTGTTAGTTGTTATATTGTTGTCTTGAAGTAATGTGTAATAATACAATATTGCATTATTGTATTATTTCATAACAAAAAACAAGTAACGTTAAAACAAACAAAAAAATCCAATAAATAAGGTTAATAGTTTAATACCATACTTAATATAGTTAGACAGTTTGTTCCAACAAGGTTCGATTTTTATTAGAAATAACTTAGATAATAATTTTAAAAAATAATACATTGCAAAAAAAGTTAATATTTTATATTAATTAGGTTTGTAAATACTTACCAAGTACCAATATACAAATATGTTGATTATTAAATTTAAAAAAAATTAAATATATGACAACAATCATTTAACATACAGTATAACAAAAATATAATTCAAAAAATGGTTAAAAAACAGAAGATCACATAACCAATAATTTATCCAAAACAAATTGGGTAACCAAACAATAAAACAATCATTTTAATTTAGGTTTTTTTATATTTTTTTTATCAGGGGATGATGACATATCTCTTGATTTTTTAGTATTGGAACTCTTGCTGGCTTTGGAACTCTTATAAGCCAATGACATTTTTGTTATATTATTTTTGTACACATCTTCATGCACTACCACTCGTTTTGGATAATGCACTCCAACCACACAACCAGCTCTTTCTTGAATAGACTTGGGTGCAGACCATGGTTCATAAATATATTGATCGGGATATTTGGCCAATTCTGGGATATATTTTCTGATGTAATCACCACTCTTATCAGTCTTTTTACCAAATGCAACTGGACTGTAGACTCTAAAAAATTGATGGAAAAATGCTGATGCTGACAACCACATCCAATTCCCAGCATTCAGTGACCAATCCGCATCAAGCAATAATTCTTCAAATACAGCTAAACCTTTTTCCCAAGATATCCACAAGTCTCCTCGGGTTAAAAAACATGCAACAGCATGCCTGGCTAAATGGTGTATCCAACCTTCATCTCTCAATTGTCTCATGATGGCATCAATGAATGGATATCCTGTCTTACCATTAGTCCAAGCTTCTAAAGCATCAGGATTGTTGTCCCACGGTACTTGACAGCAAATTGAATTGCCAACCATTTTGTCAAAATTGGGAGTTGAAGCTCCAACAGTATAATAAAATTCTCTCCAATACAATTGACCAATCAGAGATACAGGAGGTTTAGAATGAGGGCTATTACCGATAACTTCTTTTAATCTGTAATAAAAATGACTAGCCGACAAACAGCCAAATTTCATGTAAGGACTTAGTACAGTAGTGCTAGGTTTTAGGCTATTTGGTGATGTATTAGGTTTTTCAAATTTACAAACCCATGTCTTGTTTTTCATATATTCTTCCAAACGCCTAAGAGCTTCTTTTTCTCCACCAGGATACAAACATGGTTTAAGTTCTGTAGGATTAAAACCTTTTAATGTTAACAATTCATCCAGTGTTGGCACATCAAACTCTGGGTTGTTTAAATCATCATCAAGTAGACACTCAGAAGGCAACATATCTGGTGCAGGTATTGGTCGACGAGGAGTTGGCATCGAGCCGACAACAGATACAAATTTTTGATAAGTCATTGGAACACTGCCTCCATTTGCCCTGAGTACAAGTTCAGTATTATAAATAGTGTGAGAGACTTTTTGTTCTACCTTGACGCTGTGTTTTCTGGCCAGTTGTTCTACTTGATTGTCCCTCTCTCGAGCATACGGCTCGGTATCCAACTCAAAAGTCAACAATTTTACATTCCATTTGACAAACAAGTCTGGAAAGACTTCATGAGGCAGCCCTCTAATGACGTAGAGCCGCGTGCCCAGTTGCCGAAGTGTCGTGTCCAAGTCCACCAGGCTCTGCTGCAAGAACCTCCAACGGTTAGCACCTGCCCTTATGTATTTACGGAAATAAGGGTCCAGTATGTAAATGGGCCTGAGCTTGTAATGCTCACCGCTACCGTTCTTCGCTTCATACGATAACCTGAACGCCGGGTTATCGTGTAGACGCATACCTTTCCTGAACCAGTGCACAGTCGTCTCGTATCCTGCGTCAGAATTGTTCTTGTCCATGTTATTATTTTATTAATATTACAATATTATGATCTTATTGTGCGTAGATACTAGATACAGCAAATGGACAAAACAGGTAATCCACAAATTTCTGTTACAGTAGTGTTTTGGGTGGCGCAAGTAATAAGTTACGAACCTTTTAGCAGTTTCAGCTTTGTAGTCGTCATAGGTATAAAAATAATTAATCATCAATATCATCCGTTAGAAAATTTAAAATTTCATCTAGAATTAATCTAAACGTTTAAAATACAAATCTATAATCATTAATCTTTGATATTATTATCTAATCAAACAATTTCATCGTTATTCGTTAATGCTATATCGTGTGATAAAAGTTATATGTATGTGAATTTGTGATAACTGATAAGCCACTAATCATAGAATAACTATTTATAAAACTCTATTTGGTTTTTCTGTGCCTATATCATCAGGATCGGCTCAATGTATGTGATAGGTACGATTGAAATATTATATTTTTGCATCAGTGACATCAGTGTTATGGTTAGGTAATTTTATTGCAACTGTGAGGATATAAGACAATTACAATGAATACATATTAATATTTAATTTTCTATGGAGACATAGTTAGTCGATTTACCCCAGTACCTACCATAACATTTGTATTAAATAGGTATTAAATAATTGGAGCCATTAGGTCCAGCGGTTCTCAAACTTTTTTGTTCACGGAGCCCTTATAGGTATTCCTAAAAATAATTACGGAGCCCCAAAAATCAGAAATATCTATATGAGACAAAAAAAATTTATAAAAAATGATGTCAATTGTAAATGATTTGCTTTTTATTTTTATATTCTGTAAAATACGAATATACAGGGTGATTCTTTTAAGAGGGTACAMTAATTATCTYGAAAWGTATTTACTTTTTTCAAAATATTTTTWTACAYGGTTTCAAGTTGTTAAAAAACCAACGTTTTTATTAAAAAATTATATTTTTAGATATTTTTTATCCTTAACATTTTTTAAGTTTTTTACTTTTTTGAATGACAACATAGAGTTTTAATTTCATATTCCAAAGCAGAATATTTTCCTAAGTATTTTGATTCATAAAAATCGAATTTAGGGCTAGTAGTTTTTGAGTTATCAGTATTTAAAGTTTAGATTGCCTGGGTGGAGTGGTACGGGGCTACCCCGCAAAATGCTTGTCCACTACTACGCTTGTCGAAACTTTAAATACATATAACTCATAAACTACTCGTCCTAAATTCGATTTTTATGAATCAAAATACTTAGAAAAATATTCTGCTTTGGAATATGAAATTAAAACTATGTTGTCATTCAAAAAAGTAAAAAACTTAAAAAATGATAGGGATAAAAAATATTTAAAAATATAATTTTTTAATAAAAACGTTGGTTTTTTAACAACTTGAAACCGTGTATAAAAATATTTTGAAAAAAGTAAATACATTTCGAGATAATTAGTGTACCCACTTAAAAGAATCACCTTGTATATTATATTATATTATAGGTAGGTAGGCGAAACTAGAAAATTTTAGAAAAAAATGTCACGCATTGTTTATTTTGTTATAATAATATTAAATTGCATTTTTGAATTGTTGTCCCTATCTCTTAATGATTCTTATCGCAAGTTGGGATAATAATTATATGTGGGTAACGGTTTTCCGATAATTAACACCAGCTAGGGACATGACAATTTAAATATCTTTTTTATAGCTTATGATATTATATTTTTTCATATGGTAATGATGTAGATGATATTTTAACATACTTCGATGTAACATTTTTAATGGGACGTCAAGTTAATTAATAATACGCAAGTTTTTTGTTTCAAATAAGCCTATCTATGTTTGTTCCATATATTATGTGGAACGTGTACAATGCAACAAAATTAGGATAATATAGTAGGACTAATAATATATCAGAAGATTGGAACAATAAGTTCCGACATATATAATTAAATTTTAACATCCACATATTATTTATATATTTATTGAAGCTTTACAGATGATGAACTCGATAACCTCAATGGAGATTTTAAAACTAAACACTAGTATTCAAATAAATTGTAAAATTAAATGAAATAAAGAAAGGCTTCATGTTATATGTAAAACTTCTCAATACAAAACAAAATACTAAAACTATTAGTTTTTAAAATACGTATCGTATATAATCAAATATAATATCTTTTATTTATATAATATTTATATTAATTAATATTCACAAAATCTTTTATCTTTTTATTTTATTAGAATACATTTTGAATTATATTATTATATTATTATATTATTATATTATATGCTTATTATTAAGTATTTATAAATTTTATATTCGGTGTCAATTGTCCTAATATTCTGTTTAAAATCACTCAATTTGCAACGAATAATTATTTACTGCTGGATTTAAATTTAAATATTTTAAAACACGTATTACAGTGACTTACTCTACAATGACTAGATAGGTACACGGTAGACTTAATCTAATCTGTCATTTGTAATTTTTCAATACAGCAAAGTAACATCCTCAATTTTATTAAATTGTTTACAATAGTTCTACAACTCATTAGTTACTATATATTTACATTTAGTTATGTAGATACTGAGGTTGCTAGAGTATAAGAAACGCTGTATTAAATATATTTTTGGATAATAGTAGGTGCATTACTAATATCATAATAATATACTTATATACTATACTATGCTAGATATATTAAACTTATATGTTTGTATACAAAACTATACACTCCACAATGGTACATGACATGGTACATAGTGACATAATTATAAGGGTGCACATCCGATACCCCTGGGCCCTGGTGTTATGTAGCAGTCGAAAAGATATGCTTTTGCGCCTGTTGAAGCTGAAATTTAATTCAATTAAAATACAATGCTATAGTAAATTGACATTGATTTGTTGATTTTTTTTTTGATAGAGAGGATATAACTGAACAAATAATGAAATAACATTGTGTAATAATTTTGTTGTTACTCATCAATTACTTTAACAGTATAACAATACCACAATCGTAGACTACAGACTACATTTTAACAAAATAACCTTTTTTTTACCTAAGCAATAAACATTATATTTTTATATGTAAATTTGTTTATACAAGTATACAGCGTTTAAAATAATAATATTTTATAGATTTGTTTTTACAGATGAGATTTATTACAGATTTATTTGTGCGCTAAGTACTTAAGCAAATAAAGCATTTATTGGCTTTAAATATGACTTTTTTGTTTACCTATACGATTACTAGACTTATGAAAATTTTGCACATGCTGAAATTTAATGGAATTATACCAATGGTAGTACAGTCTATACAGTGTAGACTAGCTGTTGAGTTATATAAATATAATAATATATGTTGTGTTGAATATTATATTATTATTTATTACAAAACAATTAGTTGGATGTTTTTTTTTCAAGAGCCTCTTGATACGTGAAACGATAATATATAGCCATATAACATTTGTTTGGGTCTCGTATATCAAAGTATTAAAATAGGTATAGGCGGAATACAGTACTATATTATATTATAATAAATAATGATATTATAGGTATAGTATAGCCGTGTATACCAAATTATTCTGATACCTATACTAGCAACTATAGCTGATTGTTCAATTGTTGTAATAACCCATGTTTAAAAAACGTATATATATATATTCAACTTATAATTGATACTACACGTTGTCGAATGCTGACTGATTTGGATTTTGAATCAATATGGACCTTTAGTTATCCCGAATTATTAACATTAGGTATATACACATCAATACATAATGGATTTATATTATGTAAGTATAATGTATATGTAACTATAAAACATCTTAATAAAGTTAAATATTAACTATTGTAAACGAAATGTGTTACACGAAATTAATTCATATTAATATACATGTAATATTATTTTGTGTATACCAAAATCGAACGATCGCGGACTTTAGAATGTACCGTTGTACCTATATTACATGAACATCACTATAAATATAATATCGTGGTGCAAGGAGGTCAGCCACGGGTCGTGTCATTGACGCAATTGCAAGTTTATTAATATACCACAAATAATAATAAATTATTGTTTACCCTTTTATTTACTGTAATATAAAGACGGGCAATCATTAAAATTACACGAAATTTTCCTAACATTGAGCTGTTATGGGCCGATTATTGATGATTATAAATTTATAATTAATTTAATTATAGGTATTAGGYGTAATATTACGTATTTATTATAAAATATGCACATCCGGCACGTTATAATTTATAATATATATTGTATACCTATACACTCTAGTCTATACAGATTACAGACATACAGTATATAATATAAATCGAATGTTCACAAAAATAGACTACCTACGCTCTAAAACTTAGTTATTTATAATATTACTCAGTTCCCTATATATATTTTTGAATTCTGTTTCAGAGAAATGAAACTATTGGTTCACAATTCATATTACTTACGATTTTTTTAACTCTTGTATTATGCTCACCGCTCACGTGTATAATAATAATTCTTTTTTTCTGTTTATCTCATTTTCGTGAACATACTACGGTATAATATATAATATTATAGATATACATATTTCCAGGGACGAAGAGATGTTGGTGAAAATGCCTGCCCTACTTGAGAATCATTTTAGATTCTAAGCGGAGCGATAAATGTATTGATTTTACCATGATGTGTGTTTTTTTTTTAGATTCTGAACGAAGTGATGAATGTATTGATTTTACAATGATGTGTGTTTTTTTTTTTTTTATGTTTTTTTTTTGTATCTGTGTACAGCATATCTAGTCGAAATAATGCTTTGATTTCAAACTTTGGGGGTGGTTTCCGGTGTAAAATTGAAGATCCTTGGTGCATTATAGAGGTCAAAAGTAAACATTTTCCAACAGTTTTTAAAAAAATCGAGAAAAACAAAAAAAAAATGACAGAAAAATGGGAATTTTTACGCAAAATCAGTTTTCGAACAAATCGATTTTTTTATATGGTTGTAATTCAAAAACT